CCCATAGACACCTCCCCAGTATCCCCAGCATCTTTTTAAAGAAAAGAAATGCAGTTATCACAATGTGTATGACTTAACAATTTGTTGCCCTCCTGTGGCTCTCAAAATCTGCTGCCTGCAGCTTCCACCTGATTGACAATAGGACCACCCTGCAACCATTGCAGCTAAGATAACAGGCAGGCAGGTATTAATAGGGGGCGGGAGGGAAGGGAAGGGAGGAAGGAAAGTGTCAGTAGGAAAGAGCTATTTTTTTGTTTCAATTACAATATGAGCTGAAGGAGAACTACTTATAGCTCTCAAACTGAAAATGATCATTATAAGCTACAGAAACCAAATGACTGTAAACTAGACATGGGGAGTAATTAATTAATTAATTATTCATTTAATTCATTAATTAAATGAATAAATCAAGACATACAGATTTTTACTGCTGTATTAGCAGATAGATTCATAGCAAGTTATATTAAAGAGGACTAATGTGGCTTTATAAAGGGAAGACAAATTGACAATTTAACTAGACGAGTTTTGAATACAGCTGTGCCCCGCTTAACGATTACCCCGTATAATGATGAATTCACTTCACGACGATGTTTTTGCGATCGCAATTGTGATTGCAAAATGATATTTTAAATGGTTTTTTTTCCCGCTTTGCAAACATCGGTTCCCTGCTTCGGGAACCAATTCTTCACATTACAACAATCAAAACAGCTGATTGCCGGGTTTTCAAAATGACTGCCGGGTGCTCAAAATGGCTCCCTGCTGTGTTTTTGGATGGATTCCTCACTCTACAGGCGCTGAAAATGGCCGGCCCTATGGAGGATCTTCACTGGACGGTGAGTTTTTCAGCCCATTTAGTTCATAGAATAAGAAATGATGAATTAATTAAAGGATTAGGTAAAACAATACAATTAATATTAATTTATTTGCTGATGATTCATTATTAACAATTAAAAACCCATTAGAAAGTATGCATAGAATTAAAAATCATTGAGAAAAAATTGGGGAAATAACAGGATTAACTATTAACTGGCAAAAACCACAAATAATAATGTTTATTCACAATAAATATGAACAGGAAAAGTTCGTAAATAAATATGGTTTTAAAATGTGCAATTATATTAAATATTTAGATATAAACATAGTTAAAGTGACTCAAATATTAAAGGAGCAAAATTTTAATAAATTAAAAAGTGATATTAAGGATAAATTGCAGGAGTATTCTAAGTTGAAACTATCATGGTTTGGGAGAATCTCTATGGTCAAAATGAAAATATTACCAAGAATAACTTGTTTCCTTTGGGAGGCTCCCAGTACATTTAGAAGAAGAAGATTTTAGGTATTGGCAGGGACTAATTAATGGATTCTGTAATCAAGGGAAAAAATGAAGAATAAATAAAAGATATTGGTACAAGACTCAAAAAAATGGAGGTTTAGTTATTCCTAATATTAAAAATTATTATATAAAGAATCAACTAAAACCTATTGGAGATACTATATATAACAAAGGAAGATTAATTTGGTGGGATAGGAAATCCTCAGAAATATATGGGAATATTGAAAAATATTTGTTTATAAATATAAAAGTTGCCAGATTGAAGGATTGGGTGATTAAAATGAGATAGAAGGATCAGATTATAGTTCAAACTAATAAATTATCATGGTATAATTATATCCAGTTAAATAGATGGACTAATGAATGGTTGAGGATTAATGTCAAATGTAGAGAATATACTAAGTACTGTATGAACAATTTCTATCATCACATGAAGACATGCAGAAGGATCCTTTGAGGAAGGGAGTAGTAACTAGAATTTATAACCTAATTTTGGATCAGGAGGAAACTGAAACTGAAATAGGAGGATTGAAATTAATTTGGGAGCATGATTTAAAGACAGAAATCAGAATAGAGGATTGGACAAAAATCTGGAAGATGAGAGTGTTAAGATTAATGTCAATAAGAATAAAGGAGAATTTTTTAAAAATTAGTTTAAGGTGGAACATTACTCTGGTGAAACTGAGCATAATAAATTCAGACTATTTTAAGGCCTGTTGGAAATGTGATGAAGAAATTGGCACATATTATCATATGTGGTGGAAGTGTAAATTGATTCAGAAATTTTGGAAATTGTTTTTAAGGAAATATGTGATATATTTGGAAAAGATATTGAATTTAATCTAAAATTGCTTTATTGTCAATTTTTGATAAGATAGACCTTGATTATTGCTCAAAGGAATTGATTTCTAATTTTATGTCAAGTGCTAGAATAGCCAGACACTGGAAAGACAAATATGATATTAAATTAGAAGGTTGGTATAATGAAATATGGAGCGTTGCGTTAAATGACAAATTGACTACTGAACATAACATTAAAAGAATGGAAATAAGTTTAAATATTTTTATGCTATTTGGGGTAGATCTATTGAATTTGCATTAGTGAAAGGAAAGGGAAAAGCCTCTAAGCAATAATCAATACAATTATGGAAAGGAGGTTCATAGGAAAAGAATTTCTCCAAAGGGTTCTATGGGTATGGGAGTGCACTGTGTTTTAGATTGTTAGTAAGTAGTTTGTATTGTGTTTGTTTTGGAAAAATAAGACATGAGGATGAATATAAAAATGAATCACAATATTCAATGAATATCACTGATGTGTCAGATATTCATTGCTTCATGTTCTTGAGGTCCAGAGACCCCGACAAATATGAAGCAATGAATAAAACCCAACATGCTGATCACCATCATCACCCTATCTCCTGAAAAGGACAAAAGCTGTTCCCATAGCTATAAATACTCAACCATCCAACAAACAGCAACAGAGCATGGACAGAGTTCCTGCTCCTGTTCCTCTGAAGATGCCGGCCACAGAGACTAGTGAAACGTCAGGAAGAACAACCATCAGAACACAGCCAAAGAGCCCGAAAAATCCACAAAAACCATCAGATCTCAGCCGTGAAAGCCTTCGAGAATACATTAAAACCCTTTTATATTTGTCCCGTCATCTATCTATCAGGCTCCCCTGTCTTCCTATGCCCGAGCATAGGAAGAAGAGGGAAGCCTGACTGAAACAATCCCCCATCCCCCGCTGTCTGTGCAATGACAGTGGATGGAATCGCCTCAGTCAGGCTTGCTGAAAGGGAAGCCCTCCCTGATGCTCTTTGCAAAAGCTAGGTTGCTGGAACTGAAACCAGAGTTCCGTCAGTCTAATTTCTGTTTCCACGTAAGCCGCCGCAAAGCAGGAGGAGGCAGCTGGGAAGGTATATGGCAGTGGGAAGGGGGTGGTGGCAGGCTATAGGGACCAGGGTTTTTAAAATAATTTTTTAGATAGCCTCACGGGCTGTCTTAAAAACAAAAAAGATCTGATGTACCGATGAATTGATTCATGGTTCATCGGGCTACTGGGGGACAATTTGGTTTGTGGGTCATCAAACTTGAACCAGGAGAAAGCCCCATTTTAGTGCTTCATCCCCATCTCTACAGTAAACTTTAGTGATATGATAAAACCACTGGAAAGAGATTCGCCTTGTTTTGTAAATGGTATCGATTTCTGTGATATTTCTATTGGCTGGGTTGGTCTTAACAGTTCTCCTGCTTACTCTAAGTTTGGGTTCTGAGATTTCTTCCCTTGAACTGGAGTATCCCCCAGTAAAGGCATGAAGCATTCATTCCTTTGTCTTGCCTCTGGGCAAAAATTTCATCATGAGCACTGACTCTGGTTTGCATTAGCCTGGTTAACATGTGTTGTACATGTGCATGTAGACCAGTATATATCCCATGTGTAAAACATTCCAAAAATGTGACTGTGCCTCATACATCACACTGGAAATCACTATAGTTGAGTGCTGCTACCAGATGTTCTTGAAAAACACATGTTATAGACCTGTGGTTTTCAAATTTCCTATCCACAGAAAATCCTTTCCACATAGACCTGTTTGCTGGAAAACCCATATCTCTTTCAGAGAATTCTGAGCATGTCCTAGGTCATGTACTCGGCTGATGTGGGGCATTGACCAAAACTACAGTATTAGGTTTTGCATTTGCCTTACAAAAACTGTGACTGTGTTTTAATTCTTAAGCTTTCATATCTGATGTCACTCTTCCAAAGAATACAAGTCTTACTATAATTGACACAAAAAGTCCAGTTTTCCAAAGAAGGAAATGTATATATTTACAGGATTTCTGTTATATCTATCATCTGCAGTGATCAGATATCCCATGTCATGTACTCGGCTGATGTGGGGCATTGATCAAAACTATTAGGTTTTGCATTTGCCTTACAAAAACTGTGACTGTGTTTTAATTCTTAAGCTTTCATATCTGATGTCACTCTTCCAAAGAATACAAGTCTTACTATAATTGACACAAAAAGTCCAGTTTTCCAAAGAAGGAAATGTATATATTTACAGGATTTCTGTTATATCTATCATCTGCAGTGATCAGAATCCTGTTGCTGATTTACTCTTGCATAAGGGAAATCATGTAAGTCTTGGGGGCAACCTGCCCATCATTAATAAGGTGCTGGTTGCATTCATGGACACGCTCCTGACTTACATAATTTTCCTTACACAAATGTAAATTGCCAAAAGGATTCTGGCCATGCTTCTATGAAATACATGGCATTAGTTGAAGAATACTGCTCTGAAACATAACCTTCAACTTATTTCAGTAGCAGCTATATAGTTCCAGGAAGAATGTGGATGGAAATGCTGCTTTTCATCATTTATTGCTTTCATTTTTAGTGAGGGATTCCTGATGAACTTTTCAATGACTCCAAGGCTCCTAGGATCATAATTTCAAATGCTATACATGCACTGTGCTTTAATATGGGATAGAGACATGTTGCTTTATATAGGAATTAGCGGGCACTACTGAAAAAGAAGAAAATGGGTTCTTGCTTTTAATAGAACATCAGCTCAAGACAACAGCTGAGAAAACATCATATTTCTCCACCTTTTTCACTGAATAAAATATCATTTTCAAGGGCAGACTTGGCATGGATTCTAACCTGTCTGCTGCACTTTGTAGTACCGTATGGCCTCCTACTGTGGAGAAAGGTCTTCCTTATCGACTGCCTTGGCTGAGTTATCTGCTGCCAGCCAAACAAGTCAGAATGTTTGTAGTGCAATCGATTGAACGCAGGGCCCCTACTTTAGAGCATCTGGGTTTTAATGCTACAGCTGATTTTAATTATTAAAGTCATACATTCCTAGCCTACAGCTGCAACACATACTTCCAATATAGTTTTCTCTCCCTTTCTGCCAGCCTTCCATCAACAATTCTGCTGCAATGTCTGAGGTAAAATCAAACAGCACATCTAAAATGTGCTTTCAAAATATTGGTGCCTCTATTTTTATAACTAGCTTTTCCTCATGACCACAGGCTCACAGGAAATCACAGTGTTTTTCACTACATCATAATGGTATAATTCTTACAGGAACCATTGAAATTAAGGTATTTGAGTTATTTTCGGGCATGGGATCTTAACTATACACTTTCTCCTCATGTATGAATGTTCCTAGTCTCTGCCATTTCTTGATGAGGAAAACTCCTGATGCAGGCTTTTGTTTAGATATATAACCCTGTTTAATGAACCCTGATAGGCTGCCAGCTCTGTATAGAGACAGACTCAGCAGTTTAGATTCAACAGAAAGCACAGGTTTTATTTTCATTTATATTCTGAAATGAGACTCCTATTATTGTCTGCTGGGAGCTCCAGTACTGAATTATACTGGAATCTGGAGGGTCTTGAGTTTAAGAGATGCCTCTAGAAGAGCTATCTGGCAACCTTTTCTTCTTTCTTTCTTTCCTAGGAGATGAAGTAGCTGCCTCTCAAAGGTCCTTCAATCACTTGGGAGACAGAGCGCCACTCATCATTCTCATGCGACTTCTACAGTTCTTCTCCCATCAAAGCAAGCTAGCAAGCGCAGAGGGAAGCCAAATGATTTATGGCCCAGTATTATTGCTCATATGCATCCTGCACTTTTAGAATATGGTTATAATGTAGATGCTTTGTCTTCAGGGAAAAGCAGCCAAGCATTTTAGAGCAGGTTGAGGAGTGGGAAGAGAGGTACAAAGAAGCACCCTTTGTCTTCTCAGATGTGAAGGCTTTGGCTTGAAGCACCATCTGTGTGACACAGATGGGTTTAGACTTGATGGCTTTTTTTATTATTATTATCTAAAACAGCTGGAGATTCTGACAATTATAAATAGCCTCCACTGGAAAACTTCAAAAACTCAAAAGACCTCAAACACAGGTGACGTTTCTACAAAAATGTGGAAACAGTTGTCAAAATGGGTAGAACAACCACATTTTGAAATGACTAAGAGATCTGAGTTGTTCCCATAGTTGTACAGTTCAGTATCATACCTATGTAGTAGTCCCTATTTTGATTTTAGAAATGGGGATATTGTAAAACACAGTGGAATGCAAATTAATGTTAATCTTCAAACACCATTTGCATTCTAAAAATAATTTGTCTAACTATCTGATGGGAACCTACCTTTATTAGCTTCTGGTCAACCATAGCATGATGCTTAAACCCAGCAACTTCATATTATAATGCTACCTGGGGTATTCTCAGGGTTATAGTCCAAAAAAGTAACTTTCCCATCATTGCCTTTTATGAGCCAGTAATATAGGTCCCATCACCTCCTGGCAAAAAGAAGGGGAAGATATAGAGGCAGTGGCAGATTTTACTTTCTTGGGCTTCCTGATCACTGCAGATGGTGAAAGCAGCCACAAAATTAAAAGATGCCTGCTTCTTGGGAGGGAAGCAATGACAAACCTTGACAGCATCTTAAAAAGCAGAGACATCACCTTGCTGACAAAAGTCTGCATAGTCAAAGCTATGGTTTTTCCAGTAGTGATGTATGGAAGTGAGAGCTGGACCATACAGAAGGCTGACTGCCGAAGAATTGATGCTTTTGAATTGTGGTGCTGGAGGAGACTCTTGAGAGTCCCCTGGACTGCAAAGAGAACAAACCTATCCATTTTGAAGGAAATTAACCCCGAGTGCTCATTGGAAGGACAGATCCTGAAGCTGAGGCTCCAATACTTTGGCCATCTCATGAGAAGAGAAGACTCCCTGGAAAAGACCCTGATGGTGGGAAAGAGTGAAGGCAAGAGGAGAAGGGACGAGGATGAGATGGTTGGACAGTGTCACAAAAGCTACCAACATAAATTTGACCCAACTCCGGGAGGCAGTGGAAGACAGGAGGGCCATGGGGTCATGAAAAGCTGGACATGACTTAACGACTAAACAACAACAACAACAATGTAGCTCCAGGTCTCTAGAAAGCATATTTTGATTTTGATTTGGTAATTTCCTTCTGTCAATATTTGTTCCAAAAGTTTCAAAAGTTTGTTGCAGTCTCTATTACAAATTGCTTTCTGACACAGTGCAAAACAAGTCAGAGTGGCCACACAGAATAATAATAAAGTACATTTCATGCTAAATATTTTGAAACAGAATATGTGGTGCAAACAGTGAACACAACATTCACCCTCCAGCTAGAGTAGGTGAAACACTGCAGCTAAAAATAATTTTGTTAGCCAAAAGATAATGGCCATCTGACAACAAACTCGATAATGTGGATATCAAAACTGCTGAGAATGCTCTACTCCACCCCACCCCCCCGAGCTCACCTCTGTAAAGAGAGGACATCGAGAAGGGCATCACCTCCAGATATGAATGGGGAAAAAATCTATGGAAAAAGGGTCCCTATAAAATATAAGGTATTTTAATATAATACAATGTCAAATATGCAGTAACCAGATAGTTGCATTAGCGGCTATGCTCCTCAGTAAATGCTCATCACATGTGAAAAATAAGATTTTCCTACTTATTTCAAACAGAAGCCTTCAAAGCCTTCTAAATATTCTGAAGTTGGGCATTCTAAGCTATTGGCGTGGTTCAATAGTTCCAATTCATGGTTCAGCCTTGCTTAAATCTTTGCTGCATCCTTTGTAGTAAGACATGAAAGTTTGTCTCATCAGTGTTTTTTTGTCTCTTGCTTCCTCAGCAGGTGGAGGCCAGGAAGTCTATAGCTTACATACTTGAATTCATTGCCACAGGATATGTTGATGGTCATACATTTCTTTGGTTTTAAAGGCAGAACAAGCAAATCCATGGAAAATGTTTGTTTGTAGATATTGTAGAAGAGATATAATAAATGTTTTATTATGGTCATTGACCAGCAAAAGTAAGCAACATTATTTAAATTAGGAAACATAAAATCAATCTAAGAACACCTATATACATACATATAACTACATTCATACATCGTGTTACAGATCTCCTGCCTCCCTATCATAGGCCTTGTCTATGGGCTAAGTACAGCGGTACCTTGATTTACGAACTTAATCCGTATTGAAACGGTGTTCGTAAGTCGAAAAGTTCGTAGGTTGAGGCACCATTTCCCATAAGAATGCATTGAAAACCGATCAATGCATTCTGAGGGAAGAAAACAATACCAAAAAAATTTAAATAAAAATAAAACACTGCAAATCCCATGCTGGGACTGAAAAAAAACACACCACAAACCCCAAAAATAAACATTGGAGCAAGTCCCACGCTGGGAATGAAAAAAAAAAAAAACCAAAAAACTTCCCCCAGCCCAAACCCACCTTGCAAAAGCCACCGCTTGCAGTTTTAAAAAAGAAAACAAAGCATGTACTGGTCTGAAGGCTCCTGGGGATACTCAACTGCTGCGATAGCCGCTGCCATGACCACTGCCACTGTGAGGCTTGAGCCTGGCCGGGGTGCTTCAGCTGCTCGCCCCCCACGTGGCAGAGGCAGCGGTCACCCAGTGGTGGGAGACTTGAGCTGGCCAGGCTTCGGCTCAAGCCTCCCAGTGTTGGGTGACATCTGCCTCCAATCGCGGCATCAGGGGACCCCGGGAGGTCTCCCAGGGCTTCCCCACCACCATCAGAGACCTCCTGGAGGTCCCCCGCCACCACAATCAGCACATTCAGGCTTTCAATGGTAAATCATCTTCTTCAAGGCTGTGTATCAAGTTCTTGTGGGTAGTTCCAACTTATACGTTGTTATGAATGGATTGAGAATGGGTGAGTTAAATTCTGGTCAGAACATATCTGACATGTGTAAAGCATCATAAGCAAAGAATAAATAGTGGCAACTCCTGATCAGACTCATGTTTTTTTGCAAACAGAGCCATTCGTAAGTCAAAATGTTCATAGATAGGGACGTTTGTAAGTCGAGGTCCCACTGTAACAGAATTGTTACTTAGAAGCCCATAGAGCCTGTATGATCATTAAGGCCTTTACATGTATGCACCAATTTACAGATACCCTTGTAGAAGACATATTTAATTTTCTAATATTAATACTTGTACAGATAAACTGTAGTAAATTGTATCATGGTGAGTTTACACACAGAGGGGACTGGGTATCCTTTGAACTAAGAACAAATAAATATATAATGGATTATTCATATACTTTGGAAGATTTAATGAATTAAATGACGTGGTGGCGCTGCGGGCTAAACCGCAGAAGCCTGTGCTGCAGGGTCAGAAGACCAAGCAGTCGTAAGATCGAATCCACGCGACGGAGTGAGCGCCCGTCGCTTGTCCCAGCTCCCGCCAACCTAGCGGTTCGAAAGCATGCAAATGCAAGTAGATAAATAGGGATCACCTCGGCGGGAAGGTAACAGCATTCCGTGTCTAAGTCGCACTGGCCATGTGACCACGGAAGATTGTCTTCGGACAAAAACACTGGCTCTATGGCTTGGAAACGGGGATGAGCACCACCCCCTAGAGTCGAACATGACTGGACAAAAATTGTCAAGGGGAACCTTTACCTTTACCTAATGTGCTTAAAACCTGTATATACTGCATTCTGTCCTCTGGAGAACCAAAGAATAAAGCAATGTAACAACCATTTAAACCATCGTAACATACCGGTAATCAGTAAAACACTCAAAACAACAACAGGGAAAAAAATCAACTGCAAAATTCCTTTGAAACTCTTTCCAGTTAAAAATCCCATCCAGTAAGCAGCAATTCCCAGTTTAAATGCCTTCTTAAAAAAGGAAGCTTTCTGCTAACTTGCAGAAAGGCATTAGGGAGAGATCAGATGGCTTTTACT